GGTGCATCATTTACATAAAATCGGACGAAACTATATATTTGGGAGTTATATCTAAATCTGAACCGATTTTAACGAAACTTCGCAGACATCAGTCTGGACCTTATTCAATACTCTGTGCAAAATGTTGTCTCAATCGGACAAATATTGGGAGTTTGGTGCATCATTTATATAAAATCGGACGAAACTATATATGGGAGCTATAACTAAATCTGAACCGATTTTAACAAAACTTCGCAGACATCAGTCAGGAACTAATTCAGTACTCTGTGCAAAATTTTGTCTCAATGGGACAAATATTGGGTGTTTGGTGTATCATTCACAAAAATCGGAAGAAACTATATATGGGAGCTATATCTAAATCTGAACCGATTTAAAAATCAAATAAGTGAACTGTGCCAAATTTCATCCAAATCGGATTATAAATGCGAACTGTACTTTGTTCACAAAAATACATGGACGGGCGGACGGACAGACAGACACGAGTAAATCGATTCAGAAAGGTATTTTAAGCATATTCTCAAAAGAAACCATGGGTCTATCGCTATTCCTTTTGCCTGTTACAAACATATGCACAAAGACATAATACCCTGTACCTGTACCACATGGTGCAGGGTATAAAAATCAATGCTTCTGCGTTAGAAGTTCTGCCTATGGACCCCTCCAAAAATAGTATTTAAAAAATTAAAATTCCTGCAAAATGTTTCCTTGGAAAAAATATTCTTTAAATACACGCAATGAAAAAATATTCTTCAAAAATCGAAGCCTTGAAAAAAATATTCTTCAAAAATCCAAGCCTTAAAAAAATATTCTTCAAAAATCCACGCCTTGAAAAATATTCTTCAAAAATCCACACCTTGGCAAAAAAAATCTTCAAAAATCCAGGCCTTTAAAAAAATATTCTTTAAAAATCCACGCCTTGAAAAATATTCGTCAAAAATCCACACCTTGGCAAAAAAAATCTTTAAAAATCCAAGCCTTTAAAAATTATTCTTTAAAAATCCATGCCTTGAAAAATATTCGTCAAAAATCCACACCTTGGCAAAAAAAATCTTTAAAAATCCAAGCCTTTAAAAATTATTCTTTAAAAATCCATGCCTTAAAAAATATTCTTTAAAAATTGACTTTGAAAAAATATTCTTTAAAAATCCACGCCTTGAAAAAATATTCTTTAAAAATCCACGCCTTGAAAAAATATTCTTTAAAAATCCACGCCTTGAAAAAATATTCTTTAAAAATCCACGCCTTGAAAAAATATTCTTTAAAAATCCACGCCTTGAAAAAATATTTTTAAAAAATCCACGCCTTGAAAAAATATTTTTTAAAAATCCACGCCTTGAAAAAATATTCTTTAAAAATCCACGCCTTGAAAAAATATTCTTTAAAAATCCACGCCTTGAAAAAATATTCTTTAAAAATCCACGCCTTGAAAAAATATTCTTTAAAAATCCACGCCTTGAAAAAATATTCGTTAAAAACCCACGCCTTGAAAAAATATTCTTTAAAAAACCAGGCGTTGGAAATTTTTTCTTAAAAAAACCACGAGGTCCCAAAAAATCCTTTATAAAATATTTATCTAAAATTTCCTATTTCTGTAGTTGTTGATAAATATAAATTTAAAAAAATTGTAAAGATCTCAATTTTGACGATACATTCTATATAAATTTTAAAGAGTTTCTAATAACATTGGTTGTATTTTTCCCTGATGGTTGGCAATTCACATCAATATCTACGATGTGGCAACATTGTTAAAACAACGAACATATGTTCGAAATGTCATAGAGCAAGCAAGACATGAGAGCTCTCTTTTTTATCAGTAAATAAACACAACGACTTTTTTGCAACAAAAACACAACGGCTACGTCGCCTCTCTTCACAATAAAACAATACAAAGAAGAAAATATTAGTTAGTAATAGAATTAACTTTTCTAAGAGAAGACATCAAGAATAAAGATTTAGAATATTAAGGCACTAAGAAAAACGATGGCATCCTTGAAAATTCCAGATGATAAATTAACGTGTAAGTAATTGATTGGCAATCGCCTGAATGGAATTGTGAATGAAGGTGACTTCATTATTTTGCTGTCTTCGTGGAGAAGTTTTCTGTTATTTGGAACAGTATGTGTCTGGGATTTTTTTGTTTATACGAGTACAAATAAAGTTGTCTGGCTGAATATCAAAGTCCACACAACCACCGTACTGAGCGAGTGGTATAAATATATGAACATTGATCACTAATTCGTTTCGATTATATCGAAGAAGTGATTCCTGGAACATGAGTTGTGAGTTATTTTCATGAATGAAAAATACGAAGAATGGAGAGAATGACGGAATGTGAACTTTGATACGTAGTTGAAATAAAACGTTACATTGATCGAAGTTATTTCGATGTAATGAAATCAATTGTTATTGATAAGTAGATTGCTTTGTTGTTATTACTACTATTGAATGGAATGTATATGAATTTTCCGTTCTTCAGATCTGCAGGTGACATGCCTTAATATACTGCCTATAGGATGGCTTCCTATATTGCAAAAATCTAAATTAATCTATTAAATTAACATATGGATCTAATAGCGTTAGCGTCTAATTGTTAGACCCATGCTTGTGTAAAAGCAATACAAAAACAACAACTCGACAAAAATCTAAATTAACCTATTAATTTAACATGTTCTGTTGATCTCATCATCTTATCATGTTCTTCATTAATGCATTCATAAGAGATTTTTCTTCAGTCTTGCCTTCTGAATCTATGTAAATGCTATTGAGACCTGTCTGACAGATCTAGAGGTGTATGTATGCATGTAACATTAGACCTCTCTTTCCTCTAGAAAATGTAGATCTTTCCTGACATGCCTGTGAGGAAAAAACGATTTCCAACCATACCTGCCAAACTGATACTGCATTGGCTGTATTTGGCTTTTGTAGATGCACAGGTATGATATTCATATCCTCATGAAGTGTCATTAGGAGATACCCTAGTTGCAGTATCCAGGTCGGCGTACTGCCGTGTTTGAATATTCACCCACGGCGTAGCATTTCCACTCGCCAATCACACTGTCGACGAAGAGTTCACTGTGTCAGCGATCCAAGTGCAGACGGCCTGCAAACTGGAGACCTTATACTATTTTTCTAAACGAATTGAAAAGGATGTCGAGCGTTGAATCCAATATCATGGGGTTGATGCTATAACAGTTCGGCTGGAACCATGTTTTTTCCCTGTAGATGTGGTAGAGGCATTAGCAATTTGCTCTAATGGGTTCATTAGTGTGTGGAAAGTGTGCGGGATTTGTGTGATGATGGGACATGGGTATTTTTGGTTATGATGGTGTGTGGCTTATTGGGCTATGTGTGTGTATGTGTTGATGTTAGGATATGTATATGAATATATTATGTAGGAAGCTGCAAAAATTGGACCACTTCCACTGGTCTAACCCAGAGATCCACAGGACGCAAATCTGTGGGCCTGACTGGGCAAGAAATTAGATGATTTGTGTCATGAGGAGTGCTGTGACAATTTGGGCACTGATCACATGTGCTAAAAATAATTCTTGATTGATAATTATTTAGAATGGTGCTCCAACCAGATCTAAGTTGAGCTAGAGTTTTTCTAGTGGATCTGGGGAGGCGCTTTTCAGAGTCACTGATTGCTGGGGGATGTTCATTAAGGACTTTATTTAGGCAATATCCGTCGACGGGTTGATTCACCGCTCGAGTGTGCAGCTGTTTCAGACCTGCAGCTATTGACGATCTGTTGAGGTGGGATTGTATGACGTATTGGATGTCTGAGCATCCTTCCGGATGTGTCGTGGAGGAGGATCCTGCACCACTATGTGGTGGTTGGGGTGACTTGGGAGATGGCAGGCCAGAAGGAACTGTCTAGCAAGCAACACATTATGTTGCTGTACTGACAGTATCCTTGTCTCCTCATGAAGATGATCCACGCTCGACATCTTGACATATCCGGTAGCAATCCTTAGAGGACTATTTTGGATTGTTTGAAGGTTGCGCGATTGGGTGTCGCTTAGGGCTGAAGTCCAAACGGGGCGGCATAGCACAGTACAGAGCGACTAATGGCTTTGTACGTCACGATGAGCGTTTCTTTATCCTTTCCCCAGGAGGTACCTGTCAGAGCTTTCAGGACTTTGTTTTTGCTGAGGACTTTCCCTTTAACACAGGCTGCGTGCTTGGTGAATTGGTGGGGTAATTAGTGGTGGTGAAGGTAAAATATATTGTCTTAGTGGCGGATATTTTTATACTGATCACAAAGAAGAATCCTACAGTCAATACACTAAATGCAAACTATATGAGTTCTGATGTATACCAAGTCAACTTACACTCATTGGAGGGAAGGCCATTTTATTGGCCAGATATTCAACTGGTTAATTTAGGGTCACCTATTTACGCCTCATCAGAGTTTTGAACCATAATCCCTTTTACAGACAATTCTGTTTGTTATTCTCTAAACTTCTAAATTTTATTACAGATTCTTATACCAGTAGAACTTGAAGGTACCGAAAATGTGTTTTGTAAAAAAAAACATTGGCCTATATTGAGGCTTTTCTGTGAAGAGGTATTTTAACATAAAATATCTAAAATGATATTTTGAATTAAAAACTTAAGGCTTTATAAAATATTTTTCCAAATTTCCCCCTAAAACCGTATTGCAAATCAGAGTGAAATATCGCCAATTGAACATTTGTACGATATAGAATTTAAAAATAAATATAAAAATATTGTATTATTAAAATCAATATTTCCATTGATTGGTTAAATATATTTTCTTCACTGGCCTAATTTATTTCCGTTCGTTCGTTTTTAATTGGTTTGTTTGGAATCCAAACAAATATTCTTTCTTGATTTCACATTATTATCGCCATTCAAAAATCATATCAGGTATTTTGCTAATCTTTTAAGTGGACAGTTGATAATTTTTCTAAACACCTAAAATAAGTACCCCCTTTCTTACTGCCAATGCACTCATTCTATTATTTAAATTACAGTAAGCAGCATGGAACCAAATAGTGGGGACGGATCAACAAAAAGTATAAGGTATAGACATGCTGGCGATTTAACTGGAGAACCACATACCAGAGAGGTAAATAAATGTTTCTTTCTTTTTTTGGTTTATAAAATACTAAAATATTTCTTTAATTTTTTCAGTTCGCTGAAGTCACAATCCCGGTGCCTTGGGGCCATTTGGCTGGCAAATGGTATGGCCCACAAGATGTTCAACCCATATTGGGTTTACATGGCTGGCAAGATAATGCTGGTACATTTGATTTGCTCGTTCCCCTACTGCCACCAGATGTTGCCTTTCTTTCAGTCGATTTGCCCGGTCATGGATTATCATCTCGTCTGCCGGATGGTTGTTATTACAATACCATTGACAATCTGTATGTGATACGTGTGATCATGAAACAATACAAATGGGAAAAACTATCGCTGATTGGCCATTCAATGTCTTCGATAATTGGTTTTGTATTTGCTGCCGTTTTCCCCGATAAAGTTGATATGTTTATTGGCATTGATGCTCTGAAACCCCATCAAAGACCATTCCCAAGCGTCATTCGCACAATGGAAACACGTATGGATGAGTTTTTACGTGAAGATGAACGTAATCGTAATAAAAGTGAACCACCCAGCTATACTTACAATGAACTAATCGAACGTATCTACGTTGGAACATTCCATTCGGTCAACAAAGATCTCTGCAAACATATGTTGGCTCGCAATATACAAAAATCCGAAAAATATCCTGACAAATATTTCTTTACACGTGACAGACGTTTGAAGTTCTATAATTATGCTGTTGGTTCTCAAGAGTTGTGTGTGGAAATGGCCAGACGTATAACGTGTCCATATCTTTTCATAAAAGCTCGCAATTCGTCATATTTTGAAGATAAAAAATATTACGACGAAGTTATGGATGTACTGAAGACAAAACCGAATTTTGAATATTTTGAAGGTGAAGGTACCCATCATTTGCACATGAATAATCCGGAGGGAATTATTGGACCCATTGTTGATTTTATTAATCGTTTTGGACCGGTGGCACGAGCAAAGCAGGCAAAGGCCGCTAAACAAGCACAAGCCGATAAAGAAAGTAAACTTTAGAATGTATGGCTACTTTGATAAAGAGGCTAAGAAGAAAAATTGCAAGTCATAAGAAGCGTGATAAATATTAACGAACATACTTAAACAAAAATGTTTCAGGGAAAAATATATATAGAACACAAATTACTATTTGTTTTATAATCTGTGTATGTATGCATGTATTAATTATTTTATAGTCAAGTGCCTTAGTATACTTTAATTGTTAGTTGTTAATTTGTTTGTATTAGAAAAGTGCACAAAATTAATAAGTGATCATTTGTTTTTAAATAATAAAAATAACAGAAATCCTGCAGGTTTTAGAAAATAAATTAAAAAAGGCTTTATTATAACGTTTTAAAATGTGTAAATTGTGCAGTTGAATTTTTGATTTATACAAAAATACATGTGAAAAAGATTTCACAATGTTTCAACAGGTACGTGTTTCCCCAAGAAATTGTAAAAATTTTTGCCTCAGGAGATTGTACAATTTTTTACCATTCCACATTAAATATAAACTTGGTCATGCTTTATTAATGTCTGTTTTTCTATATGGAATGGTGGTTTATTCTGGCACTGCCCAAATAAATCCAACAGTCTACTTTATGTTCCATTTTTGGATATAAAGTAACTACACCTTTTTCAAATGTTATTCAAAACATTTCAATTGCAATTCGAGAATTTCATTTGTAATTCGAAAATTCAATTTGCAATTCATAACATTTCAGTTGTAATTCGAGTATTTAATCTACAATTCACAACAATTCATTTGTAATTTTAAACTTTTCATATGTAATTCAAATAATTCCATCGGAATTTTTAAGAATTTCATTTGTAATTTGTAAATTTTTATTTGAAATTCGTAGAGTTTCATTTGAAATTCAATGAATTCAATTTGAAATTCATAAAATTTCACTTGTAAATCATAATGTTTCAGTTGTAATTCGTAAAAATTCATTTGAAATTCTTAACATTTTATTTCAAATTCGAATAAAATAAATGAATTGAACAATAAGTGGGGTAGATTTTTTTTATGTAGTGAAAAAAAATATTAAAAAAATAACATGCACACATATATATATATATATATATATATACATATATATATATACGTGAAAAATTTACTTTGAATATATTACATTAATATGTACATACATTTTTACCCACCTTAATGTGTTACACATTTTTTGGGTGTTTCCAATAACATTTTTCCAATTTAAAATGAAATGTTATTAATTTCAAATCAAATATTACGAATTTTAAATGAAATTATTTGAAAGTTGAATGGAATTTTATAAATTTCAAATGGAATTTTAGTAATTTCAAATGGAGTTTTAAGAATTTCCAATGGAATTTTATGAATTTCAAATGGAACTACATGAATTTCAAATGGAATTCTGCGAATTTCGAAAGGGTTTCTATGAATTACAAATGAAATTCTCGAATTACAATTGATGTTATGAATTGCAAATGGAATTCTCGAATTGCAAATTATATGTTGTGAATTACAAATGGAATACTCGAATTACATTTGATATGTTTCGAATAACATGTGAAAAAGGTGTAGATCACTAAGTAACTAGCTATATAACTGTGTAATCGAAGATAATTGATATTTTTTGAACAACTGGGTGATAACACCCATTTACACAGGTTACGTAGTTGTTTTCATAGTGTTTTAAAATACGTTTATGGGAAGCACTGCAATCGTGACTATAATCTCTATGAAAAAGAGTTTCTTGGATGATCTTTTGATGACTACTTCCAAGTTCGATGCTTATATTTTTCCTTTATATTGCTGATAATTTCCGATTTTTGCATTCTAACAGAAATTCTCAAATTCTTTTTGAATGCTTTGAAAGTCTGGTCTTGGAACGTTCTTTTGCCGTTCGCATTGGATTGTGGAACCAGTTTCCCCCTGGATTGAAAAATTTCTCAGTCTCACCACATAATTTTAAAAATAAATTGCTGCAATATTTTTGTTCTTTAGAATAAATGAATTATATTCTGGCTCGAGTTGATAGCTCAAAAATTAACATTACGGTTTGTTTAGCATATATGTAAGAATTAGAAAAATGTGTGTTAGGGAATTTTTAGTTTGTAATTTTATAAGATACTTTATAATATGCATTCTATCAATTTGTAACCCAATGAGGAGTTTTTTTGATTAATAAATTGAATTGAAAACTAAATTGAATCCAATTCGGTAGGTACATATGGTTAAAACATTCATAATACCACAAATCAGTGTTTTAATATAAGTGCCCGATTCCGAAAAGTGAATCTACATCAAATTTGACCTGACACACTTGTGTACGAGATTTCAGTACCTTTGCCAATTCTTTCGGACATGGCTAATTTGTTGTTTAGCCCCCGATGTTTGATTATAAAATATCCTGGATAAGTGAATTCACATGGTGAGGCGGAATAAGACGATCGTTAAAAAACATCAATATTTTCGTTCGTAAAATTTAATACATCTCTTTAAAAATTTAAAAATTACTATACAATTGTATGAATTATATGCTTCGAAGGCTATATCAGAGGGCATTCATGAAGGTTTTGACAAATGTGGATCTTCATCAATGAGTAATATTTAAAAATGATAGGGTATATTACAAGATTAAACAATAATACAACCCTTTGCACTCCAAAATCGGAAAATGAGTTATTTTCTAAAGTATAATTTTGTCACAGATTGGTATTAATTAGAAATGGAAAGTTTAAATCAATGCGGACAGACGGACGGGCAAAGCCTAATGGTCTCAAACTTGCCTTTGGGAAATTTATATCCTTATAACTTTATTTCTGGACCCATGGATGTGAACACAGTTTTACATGATTCCTTTTAATTAAATAGTTTCTAAAACATCGTCCGGGGACTTAAGAATTTCTTGTATGAACAGGTGTATGGTTTTTAAGGTTGATTCTGTATTTTTGGTATCTGTACATAGATTCTGTTCGTAGATTCAATGATAAGTTGGGAGTCTATTTGTCGGGAAGTGCAGACTTAGTCGAAAATAGGAAATAATGTTGTAATCAGGACCTCTTTGATTAATACCCATATTACTGTAACCTTCAACAAAAGGTATATTAAATTTGCCATTCCGCTTGCAATACCTCGAAACAATTGTTTATAAAAACTGGATCAAATTTCCATTTGAATTTAGCCATGACTGTCTGTTGAAGTCTCGGTAAAGAGCGCAATATGTAAGATAGAGCTCTGAAATTTTCCACAAACAATGTTTTTATACCCTCCACCATAGTATGGAGGGTATATTAATTTTGTCATTCCGTTTGTAACTCATCGAAATATTCATTTCCGACCCTATAAGATATATATATTCTTGATCAGCCATGTCCGTCCGTCCGTCTGTTGTAATCACGCTATCTTCTGAAGGAATTGAGATGGGTGCTGAAATTTTGCTTTGGGTTGTCTGCAGGCAGGTCAAGTTCGAAGATGGGATATATCGGTCCACATTTAGGCATAGCTCCCATATAAGGGTAACCGCCAAATTTCGGTATTTTGGGGTTCTTGAGCACGTTTTTCAGCCGAATTCGCTGCAATTTCGTAGATTGGGTTCATATAGGGCACTAAATGTCTCAAAAAAAAATTATAAGTATATGTCCATTTTTTCTGATAGCCCCATATAACAGTACCTCCTAATTTTCAGTATTTTGAGGGTATTGGTCGTATTTTTCCACCGAATTGGCTGTAATTTAGTATTTTGAGTTCTTAATAGGTACAAAATCTCTTCACCAAAAATTATGAACATATGTCAATTTTTTTTTCGGGTAGCACCCATATAAGTGTACCCCCAATTTTGGATATTTTCGGTTCTTGAGCGCGTTTTTCAACCGAATTCGCTGCAATTTGGTATTTTGTAGTCGTATATGGTAACAAATCTCCCTACTAAATATTATTAATATTCGCCAGCTGTTTAGGGTAGTCCCCATATAACCCCCTTTTTTATATTAAAATAGTTATCTGATTTGTTCCGCGTTTTGAGTTTGGTTCTAAGACTCTGTTGTAATCATTTCACCTGCGGAGGATAAAAAAAAATTAGAACGTAAGGTTCGATAATGAACTATAGCCACATTTAGACCTAGTCCCTGTGTGGAGGTTTCAAAAGGAGTGGACCGATATTCCTCATCTTCGAATTTAAATTATTAATTAAAATTTTCTGAAATTTGTGTTATGGTTTACATAATCCGTTTTTAGACATGTCGGTATAGGCCCAATTTTTGGTATGTTCCCTATTTTTCTTTTCTAGTACCTGCCAGTATATCTATGATGGAGGGTATCCAAAGTTCGACCCAGCCGAACTTAACGCTTTTTCACTTGTCACTTCTAGGATGTCCGGTATTGTAATGTGATATTATCGGTTAAATCTAATACCTCCGGATGTATGGATTTCAAAAAAAAGTAATTTGCACACATATGTATGTACCTATCGGGGAACTAAATTCGACTTTTTTGAAACATTTCAAAGATATGGAATGAAGCAATAAACTTACCCATACCAGACTCTGTCGACTTCCTTTGATGCCTGTTGAACCGCTTACAATCAATCTCATACAAAATGTCACATTTTTGTCACTCCTATACATTTCTCTAGAATTATTTATCACTTTTCTTACGTTTTCTTTTTCCATTACACTTTTTTCTTTATATCAAATAGTTTCCTTTCATTTTGTTGCCTTTTTTTAACAAAAAAACTCTAAACGATTTCAAAGCGCGCACTTTTCCAACTGATTGACTGTTTGCAACAGCACTGCTGCAAAGAGTACTGCCAAGTCAGTGTACAATTTTAAGCAAACCTGAAACATGATTAAACAGAATGTGCAGCGTATGACATCCAACTGGCTTCCAATAAGAAAAATATAACCCCTTGAAATAGTTAAACCATTTCAACATTTTTGGAAACCAAATTATTGAACTCGATGACAACAACAAATGTCAGAGGACTATTTTTGAAGAAAAGCAATTTTATTGTGTACTTATTTCATTCTCACCAGAATATTTACGTTATACGTCGTCATGTTC